TTACCATATATGGGCACATCACATTTTTTGTCACATAAAATTTGATAGTGTAGACAAAGCTTAAGTTGTTAACTCCTCTCACTCCCCCTCCCCCATTTCCGACCCCAGTAACGGCTCATGCCATTGAATTGTTCATTTTTATTTTCATAGGGAAATTGAAATACTTGCACTATTTGTAGCTTGCCTTTGGGATGATCTTGATCACAGTTGGACAAACAACAGCTTTCAGGTTCACTCTGTGAGTTTTAATATTTGGTTGCTTTTATATAATTTGTTTACTTAAGTAAAATTGTTAGTTGGTTATCTCAATCCTCTTTTATTTGTGTATTCTCATGTTTTTTTGTTTTTTTTAAATCCAGAATATAAAATTTTGTTTGACAAAAACATGTGACATGCCTAAATATGGTTATGATGACATCACATCATGACCATATATAGGCATATCATGACCATATATAGGCACATCATGACCATATATAGGCACATCATGACCATATATAGGCACATCATGACCATATATAGGCACATCATGACCATATATAGGCATATCATCTATCTATGTGCATACAATAATTTTTGTGTCAAAGAAAATTCTAATCTGAACAAGCTTCAATAAACTGTTACTATTTCTTTCAGGGTTCTGTGCTTGCCGCCCTCTGTAGTTCAGAAGGATCAGTAATGGAGGTAAAATTTAAAGATTGTCATATTTCATTCAATAATGGACATTTGTGAAGTGTCAATCAAACTTAACATCTGGCCAATCAGAGCAGGACCAGGAATATGTGCATCCTTAGCAACAATATCCAAGGGAAGTGGCTTAATAGTAAGGTCCATTGAGAGCTGAGAAAATGATACCAAAGAAACATAGCATATGTACGGAAGCCCGTTCGTGTCAACAGTGAATAAAAATTTCAAATCAGTTAACTGGCAGCTGCCAGATAATTATGTGGCGGCCGCCACTTATTTATTGGTACCCCGGGTTGCGGTACAGCATTATCTCGATGTAGAACGGGCCATTAAAGCGCATGATCGTAATAGGCCTAGCTAGTCATTTTAGCTACAGCTTGTCATAGCTTATAATAGCAGTCATAGCCATTTTACAAAATATATCTATATCTTTGCTGTAGCACATCAAATGTCCTACATTTGCTGTTTATATCATTGTGATATTGTCTGTTATAGCTGAGTTAAGTATTAAAGGGCATTAAGTGATTAAAAGCATACTAGTAGCTGGTCACCAGCTATACCTTATAATGGCAGTCATATAGCACCAATTTCAAAAAATATTAGCAATTACAGGGTTAAGTATTAAATAGCGATTAAAATTAAGCATTAAATACGGTAGTGTTTAGAAACATGGTAGCTGGTCACTATCTAGCTATAATATCAATATATTACAGCACCAATATCACAAAATATAGCAATCACTGATTAAAAGCATGTTAGTAGCTGCCACAATGGTTTAACTGCATTTTTTACACAACGTTTGCAATGATAGGCATTAGAGTTAAGCACGCCAGCAGTTTACCATTTACCATTGAAGGCTTTTGCGCCTATAGGGTTAGGTATGTCAGCAGATTACCGTTGAACAGACGGTTGCAACGATATTCCTTATGGTTAAACACGTCAAGCGTTGGCGCCGATAGGCGTTAGCGTTAAGCAATTTAGCACATTACCATTTAAAAGGCGTTTGCAACGATAGGCATTAGGGTTAATCAAGCCAGCAGTTTATCATTGAATAGGCATTTGCGATGATAGGCATTAGGGTTGAGCACATCAGGTGAATAGGCGTTTGCGAAGATATGCGTTAGGGTTAAGCACGTCAGGGGTTTGCAACAACAGGCGTTGTAAGCATACCACTGGTTTACCATTAAATAGGCGTTTGCGGACGATAGGCTTTAGAATTAAGGACGTCAGGCGTTTGCGCTGATAGATTATATGGTTATTTTGTGGATTAAGTTTGAAGCACGTCAGTATTTTACCATTGAATAGACGTTTGCGATGATAACAAATAGGAAAAATAACATATTCAATTGCAAATGACCGGTGAAAATGCCTATACATTAGCGTACACAGTTCCTACTGGCGACTCAGTCTGAAAATCTTATTAACACTAATTCCTCTTCATTAATGCAATGGCTGGTGCGAACACCTTAGCGGACATGGTAAAATGGCTGACATGTTTATGCTTAAAGCCTATCGTCGCAAACGCCTGATGAAGTGCTTAAACCTAACGCCTATCATCGCAAACACCTATTTAATGACAATCTTTTAATCGCTATTTAATGCTTCCTAGTGATGTTATATCTTGTGAAATGGGTGCTATATGACTGCTATTATAAGCTATTGCTATTGTATAACAGCTACGAACATGCTTTTAATCGCTATTTAATACTTAACCCTGTAATTGCTAACACTTTTTGAAATGGGTGCTATATGACTGCCATTATAAGGTATAGCTGGTGACCAGCTAATTGTATGCTTTTAATCACTATTTAATGCCCTTTAATACTTAACCCAGCTATAACAGACAATATCACACTCACATAAACAGCAAAATAGAACATATAATACAGTTGATGTGCTACAGCAAAGATATAGATATATTTTGTGAATGGCTATATGACTGCTATTAGGCCTATAAGCTATTACAAGCTGTAGCTAAAATGAATAGCTAGGCTAAATGCTACCGTATATTAAATGCTAGGCCAATCATGCGCTTTAATGGCCTGTTCTACATCAAGATAATGCTATACCGCAACCTGGGTACCCATAAATAAGTGGCGTCCGCCAGATAATGGATCTGAAATTTTAATTCACTGGTGACACTAACAGGCTTCCGTACATATGTTATATTATTGGCGCCAAATATGGCAAATGCTATGTAAGGGCAAGGGTTTCAAGTCTCCCACAAATCCTGGAAATCTCCTGGAAATTGGCGCTCCCTCGAGAATCTGACAAAAAGTAACTTGACATACGAATGTTTTACTGCTGTATTATCAATAGTCTTGTGGAAGTCAGTACCAATGGGTAGACACCTTGACTGTCACACAAATGGAGTTCTAGGGTGGACAAGTTTTAAATGGGGGGGTCTGGGGTCATCCTTTAGAAAGTTTTAGTTTTGCGGCATGGAAAAGAAACTGAGATGTCTATTAAAAACGAATACACTCCAAATTCATAGTCTTTGACTATTTTATTATGGAAAATTATTGATAACATATTAATAATTTTTATGTATATTTAACCCACTGTTTTTTAACACCTTGACCAAGTTTTCACGGCATCATTTTGCATTAATTTTTTTGGTTTGTATGTTTTATGTTTAGTTAGTTTAATGTCTGTAATATAACATATTAATAATTTTTATGTATATTTAACCCACTGTTTTTTAACACCTTGACCAAGTTTTCACGGCATCATTTTGCATTAATTTTTTTGGTTTGTATGTTTTATGTTTAGTTAGTTTAATGTCTGTAATATAACATATTAATAATTTTTATGTATATTTAACCCACTGTTTTTTAACACCTTGACCAAGTTTTCACGGCATCATTTTGCATTAATTTTTTTGGTTTGTATGTTTTATGTTTAGTTAGTTTAATGTCTGTAATATAACATATTAATAATTTTTATGTATATTTAACCCACTGTTTTTTAACACCTTGACCAAGTTTTCACGGCATCATTTTGCATTAATTTTTTTGGTTTGTATGTTTTATGTTTAGTTAGTTTAATGTCTGTAATATAACATATTAATAATTTTTATGTATATTTAACCCACTGTTTTTTAACACCTTGACCAAGTTTTCACGGCATCATTTTGCATTAATTTTTTTGGTTTGTATGTTTTATGTTTAGTTAGTTTAATGTCTGTAATATAACATATTAATAATTTTTATGTATATTTAACCCACTGTTTTTTAACACCTTGACCAAGTTTTCACGGCATCATTTTGCATTAATTTTTTTGGTTTGTATGTTTTATGTTTAGTTAGTTTAATGTCTGTAATATAACATATTAATAATTTTTATGTATATTTAACCCACTGTTTTTTAACACCTTGACCAAGTTTTCACGGCATCATTTTGCATTAATTTTTTTGGTTTGTATGTTTTATGTTTAGTTAGTTTAATGTCTGTAATATAACATATTAATAATTTTTATGTATATTTAACCCACTGTTTTTTAACACCTTGACCAAGTTTTCACGGCATCATTTTGCATTAATTTTTTTGGTTTGTATGTTTTATGTTTAGTTAGTTTAATGTCTGTAATATAACATATTAATAATTTTTATGTATATTTAACCCACTGTTTTTTAACACCTTGACCAAGTTTTCACGGCATCATTTTGCATTAATTTTTTTGGTTTGTATGTTTTATGTTTAGTTAGTTTAATGTCTGTAATATAACATATTAATAATTTTTATGTATATTTAACCCACTGTTTTTTAACACCTTGACCAAGTTTTCACGGCATCATTTTGCATTAATTTTTTTGGTTTGTATGTTTTATGTTTAGTTAGTTTAATGTCTGTAATATAACATATTAATAATTTTTATGTATATTTAACCCACTGTTTTTTAACACCTTGACCAAGTTTTCACGGCATCATTTTGCATTAATTTTTTTGGTTTGTATGTTTTATGTTTAGTTAGTTTAATGTCTGTAATATAACATATTAATAATTTTTATGTATATTTAACCCACTGTTTTTTAACACCTTGACCAAGTTTTCACGGCATCATTTTGCATTAATTTTTTTGGTTTGTATGTTTTATGTTTAGTTAGTTTAATGTCTGTAATATAACATATTAATAATTTTTATGTATATTTAACCCACTGTTTTTTAACACCTTGACCAAGTTTTCACGGCATCATTTTGCATTAATTTTTTTGGTTTGTATGTTTTATGTTTAGTTAGTTTAATGTCTGTAATATAACATATTAATAATTTTTATGTATATTTAACCCACTGTTTTTTAACACCTTGACCAAGTTTTCACGGCATCATTTTGCATTAATTTTTTTGGTTTGTATGTTTTATGTTTAGTTAGTTTAATGTCTGTAATATAACATATTAATAATTTTTATGTATATTTAACCCACTGTTTTTTAACACCTTGACCAAGTTTTCACGGCATCATTTTGCATTAATTTTTTTGGTTTGTATGTTTTATGTTTAGTTAGTTTAATGTCTGTAATATAACATATTAATAATTTTTATGTATATTTAACCCACTGTTTTTTAACACCTTGACCAAGTTTTCACGGCATCATTTTGCATTAATTTTTTTGGTTTGTATGTTTTATGTTTAGTTAGTTTAATGTCTGTAATATAACATATTAATAATTTTTATGTATATTTAACCCACTGTTTTTTAACACCTTGACCAAGTTTTCACGGCATCATTTTGCATTAATTTTTTTGGTTTGTATGTTTTATGTTTAGTTAGTTTAATGTCTGTAATATAACATATTAATAATTTTTATGTATATTTAACCCACTGTTTTTTAACACCTTGACCAAGTTTTCACGGCATCATTTTGCATTAATTTTTTTGGTTTGTATGTTTTATGTTTAGTTAGTTTAATGTCTGTAATATAACATATTAATAATTTTTATGTATATTTAACCCACTGTTTTTTAACACCTTGACCAAGTTTTCACGGCATCATTTT